CAGTGGATAGGGAGTTTGCTTTTGCACGCAGCTGACCTGGGTTCGATTCCCAGCATCCCATATGGTCCCCTGAGCACCACCAGGAGTAATTCTAGAGTGCAAAGCCTGGAGTAACCCCTGTGCATTGCCAGGTGTGACCCAAAAAGAAAAAAATAACTATGTACTGATATAGTTCATAATAGATAAATAAATGGCATTCATATTTTGCCTCATTTTAGTGATTTTATCCATTGAGCATTTTGAAAGATATTGACGTGTAGTCATCTTTCCTTTTTATTTAACCTGTAATTATTTGACCTTTGATTGAATAGGTGTTGTAAACAATATTTTTCTTGCTGATGAGGATAGTAAATGCACCACAGAATGTATGAATCACTGGATGTTTTAGTTTAAATGCATCTAATATAGCCAGCAAAGTGACCTGAACAAAAATGTTGAGGTATTTTGTGAACTGAAGGAAACAAGTTGTCATCGCAGATAACTTAAGCTTTATGTAATTTGAAGCATTAAGCATTATATTTAAAATATTTATTGTATATTACTTCTGTGAACTTATAATAATTTCTCAAATTTATCCTCCTTGAATATTCATTTGGGGATTTTTTTACATATGTCTAATAATAAATTGTTGGTAGGTTTCATATATCTGTAATAAGATGATAGGTAGTTTCTTAATTGCCCTTCCCATTTTTTGCAAGAGTCTTGCATTTGTATTGTGTATTTTTGATATTTATTCATATTATGTTCTCATTATTCTATGTTGACAATTTTCATGTCAGTTTTTATTTTTAATAAAAATTGTTCAAGTTGTTTTGAATGTACAGAAAAAAATATAAGAATATTATAAAGAACTCCCAGCATCTCTTTATTTGTTCCTTATCGGCAATATCTTTAGCTTATACACTGCATCAACATCATCTCTTGTTTTCACGGTATGCTCCATTATCTTTAAATATTCGGAATAGTTTCTCAAAATACAAACAAACAAACAATCTTCCATACAGTCACCGTGCATGCTTCCAAACAAATAAACATTGATACACTATCACCAATCCAAATTTTAGCATCATCTGCATTTCACCAGTTGTTTAAATAGTGTCCCATTCTCCTTGGTCCAAGAATACATATTGCATTTGGTTATAATACTTATTGCCTGAAATCCGGATTATCAATTTTTTTTCTGTTTCTGGTATCCTTTTTCGTATTAGAAATACAATGTTTCTTTCTACAGGTTTTGTTTCTTAGTGGCATTTATAAATGCAAACTAAAAATTGAAATTCTAAATCTTAAATTTATTTCATAGTATTAAAACTTGGATTATTAAAAATCATATTTATATATTTTTTGAAAATGGTTTAAAGAGAGGATGTCTAGATGCTCCCTTTAAACTCTTGGCCTCAGACTATAGGGAAAAGAAGGAAACAAATGGAGGAAGGGGAGAAGAGATAGATGAGAAGAAACAGGGGCAGGGGTCAAGGGCACTGAGGTACACACAGAGGTAGTGTTAAGGAATGATAGCGCTAAGTATCCAATTCACAGAGTCAGTGTTAGTGAATCGGGAGACCCAAACTCTAGAAACCAAGTTGGAAAGGTGCCTGTCATAAGGGCAGGCTGGGGCTGGACTATGGGGAGGGGAGGGAACCTGAGAATGCTGATGGAAGGAAATTGACACTGGTGGTGGGCTTGGTGATGGAACATCGGATGTCAAAAGCTCAACTGTGAACAACTTTGTAATTCACAGTGCTTTAATAAAATTAAACTTTGCAAAATAAAGAGAAAATGGTAATTCAAAAATTTTCTTTTTTTTTTTTTTTGGCTTTTTGGGTCACAGTCGTAATGCACAGGGGTTACTCCTGGCTCTGCTCTCAGGAATTACTCCTGGCAGTGCTTGGGGAACCATATGGGATGCTGGGAATCAAACCCGGATTGGCCGGGTGCAGGGCAAATGCCCTACCGGCTGTACTATAACTCCAGTCCCCCCCCCGAATTTTTTTTCATCTTTTTAAAGTGTATGTCAGCATTCTCTGAGTAAATTTTTCAGTGGGTGCATCCCAGTAGCACTTAGGAGGTCCTCCCCTATCAGTACTTGGGGATCACTCCTGGTGGTGCTTGCGGTCTCCGTAGGGTGATGAATCTGTTGTGTTCTACACATGGGCTCAGATCTTCTAACTGTGTCTCTGACGAGCTAAAGCATTTTTACATTAGCTCTTTTGTTTGTTATTGTTCTGCTTGTTTTATTTTGATTTGTTTAGAACCCTAACTGTCTCTCCCATTGTACTAGCTGACTGGCCTAGGATTGGGCCTTTTTTCACACCATACACAAATATTAATTCAAACAGATTAAAGAACATCAACAATAGACTCAGATACACAAAGTAAATAAAAAAAAAAACCAGAAACAGAACTCTCTATAAAACTGACTTCGGCAGTGTCTTCTATGATTTAATACATTTGCAATGAAAACCTGAGCATATTTAAACAAATTGGTCTACATTAAGCTAAAATATTTCTGTACTGCCAAAGAAACAACACATAAAATCAAAAGACTTATAGTGAATGAAGAAAATATTTGCACATTACTTATCTGACATAGAGGTAGTAGCCATAATTCGTAAAGCATTCACAAACCTCAATAAAATGACAACAAAAAACTTTAGAGAAATGGGAGAGAAACTGAACAGAAACTTCTTTAAAGAAGACATACAGATGACCAATAAATATGTGAAAAATATTAATCATCTCATTAACAGAGAAAGACAAATTAACACAACAATGAAATATCTTCTCGCATCAGTCATAGTGAGTTTTAATAAATGGTCTAGAAACATACCAGTGCTAACAGGATTGTGTTGAGAAAAGCACCATCATTTACTGCTACTTGGATTATTATTTTATTCGGGCTCTATGGAAAATACTATAGAAACTTTTCAAAAAAATTATGAGTAGAGTTTCCTTTTCAATTCTTATCAGTTAGTAGAACTGATTCTACTCATTGGCATATATTTTGAGAAAACAAAAACATTAATTTGGACATATACATGGGGTTCAGGGGGTTAAGTTGCTTGTCTTACATATGGCTGACCCCAGTTCAATTCCTGGCATCACATAGTTTCTCAAACACTTCTAGGACTGATCATTGAGAACAAAACCAGGAGTAAGCTTTGAACAGTGTCAGGTTTGATACCAAAACAAAACAAAAACAAAAATAAAATATACATGCATAGGTATATTTTTGCAATTATGTTTATCATAGCAAAGACCTAGAAACAGCCCTAGTTCCCAAGGATACATGATTAGATATAGAAATTATGATAGATATACGCAATACATATAAATACACATAGTTATAAGAAAAAATGAAATCTTGTTGTTTGCTCCAACTTAGATGGAGCTAATGAGCCATTGTGTTTAACAAGATAAATGAGAGTGAGAACTAATGGCTGATCATCTTACTTGCATATGGATTATAAAGATACAAAGCGAGGAGACATACAGTATACACTGAAAACAAACCCTTGGACTCTGACATCAGAAATGAGTTTCCCAAGCATAAGATATGGCTTGGGAGATATGGGGCCTGACTATGACCTAGGGACCCTGGTAGGAAGTTATTGGTCCTTTGTTGTTGGTGGTGATGTTGGTGGTGATGATGGTAGTGGTGGTACCATTATAATGACTTTATTGGCCAAAATTATAATCATTGACACCATTGTAAACTGTGTTGCATCAGTAATAATGAAGACATTTTCTGGAGTAGCTTGAGTTTCTTTTCCTCTTTAAGAGTTGTAAATAGTTGGTTGGAGTCAAAATGAATGGAAAGTAAATAAAGAAAATAAGAAAAAATCACATGCTTCACATTCTAATACTACTACTGTCTTTCCCAGACAGTGCACATATGGAATAGTGTCAAGCGTTCTGTCTCAGTCTTGGCTACAGCAGTGTGTGTGTGTGGGGGGGGGGGGCGGTTACCTGGTTACCTATATTTTAGTTATATGGAATCAACTTTAGTTTTTCTCTAGGGATTCTGCTCTATTCTGTTGATGACAGCTTAGATGGAATTGGGTCTATATAATATTGTGTCTTGTTTTAGAATCCTACGTTCACCTTAAACTTCAAGAAATTAGAATACACCTGCCAATCACTTTCCACTGACAGATTTAAATTTATTTAACATTTGGTTTTGTCCTTTGTAGTCATCGTGTTTAGACTATTATGAAACATAAAGGACTTTCGTTTTATTTTATTTATTTTTTTATTTAGATTTTTATTAATGAAACACCATGAGGTACAGTTGTAGATTTGCAGATTTTCGTGCTTGGGTTTTGGTTATACAATGATCGAGGAACTTTTGTTTTAGAAGCAAAGGTACTTGCAAAAGTATTACATAAAATCTCTAACATTTGTCTTGCTCTGAAATTATAACCTTAGATGAATGACCACTAAAATCAGAAATTACCATCTAGAGCTCTTAGACTTGGTCTAGCCCAGTGATGTACTTGGTGACTATTCCAGTGCTAAATAACTCATTATCAACATTTAAACATTAGCACTCTCACATAACTGTGTGGGCTGGAGCAATAGCACAGCGGTAAGGTGTTTGCCTTGCACGCAGCCAACATGGCTGACTTGAGTTCAGTTCCTCCACCCCTCTCGGAGAGGCCGGCAAGCTACCGAGAGTATCTCGCTTGCACGGCAGAGCCTGGCAAGATACCTGTGACGAATTCGATATGTCAAACACAGTAACAACAAGTCTCATGATGGAGATGTCACTGAGCTCGCTCGAGCAAATCGATGAACAATGGGAAGACCGTGACCGTGACCCTACTCTTAGGTGGTTTACTTATCTTTTCTCCTTTTCCCTTAATAGAGTTATATATCATTACATTTATTAACTAAAATATCTCAGACCTTAATAAAAGTACAGTATGTTTAAGATATAGTAAAGGCAAAATTTTCTTAGGGTTTAATATTAGTCTATTATTACTGTCCCTTTTTTTTAAAAAAAAATGAAGTGTTTCATGAATTCACATGTTATCCTTATGCAAGAGCAATGTTAATCTCTGTTCTGTTCCAGTTTCTGTATATGTGCTTTTGAAGCAAGCACTGTCCCTGTTTTTGTATTTTTTTGCATTTTGTCTAAAAATTATGCTGTAATTTGAAAATAATATCCAACCAAGTCTCCATGATTCTTAGCATTTTCGATCTTGCTCCACATTGGTTCTATTTCCCTAGTTTAGACGTCTCATATTCATTCCAGTTGGGAGTTCTTTAGACTCACCAAGAGCAAAATGTCACTGAAGTGTGTGACATATGTACCCTACTGTTTTTCCCTCTGCTCTTATTTATTCAGAACAGCAGGAGGGATGGGTGGCCAGAAGCGCATCAGAACACAGATGCTGCCGCGCTGACAGTTTACTCTCCCTGGTGACTAATTCTTTTCTTTCAAATACAGTTGGCCCGGAACTTCTGTCTCACAGATCAGGACTTTCCCTCTATTGTCTGTCCAGGTTTCAGAATGTATCACATCTACAGCTGATGAAAATTTTCACACTGGCTTATACACTTCCACCTTTTTTGAGGCTTCATGGGAAGCAAATTGCTAATTTAAGACCAAACTTGAAAGTAGGTAAAATGCTCCATAGAATGAGGAGACCTTAGTTCCTCCAGATGAACATATCTCTTAAAGTGTGATGAATCACTTCTTTAAGTAATGGTGAAGATAAAGATGAAAAAATTTCCAGCTTGAGAATGTAATTTTCTTGTAAAAATGTTGTTTTAAAAAATTGTGCAGCTACATGTATGTCTTAATTACCTGTATCATCTGTCATCCCATTGTTCATTAATTTGCTCGAGTGGGAACCAGTAACATCTCATTCGTCCCAGCCCTGAGATTTTAGCAGCCTCTGCTTACTCGTCCTTCCCAATGGGTGCCATATTGGAGGCTCTTTCAGGGTCAGGAGAATGAGACCCATTATTGTTACTGTATGTCTTAATATATTTATAAAACCAACTAAGTATCTGGAAATGGAAAATTGCATTTCTATATACTCTGTGAAAACAAAAATATGAATTCATCCAAAACAAATAGTATTTAATATACATAAAATGCATACTTTGTCATTTCCGCCAAGTTCTTTCCTTCAGCAATTTCTACCTTTCTAACAAGCAAAACTGCATTGACAAAAGAGGAGTTTTATTTTATTTTCCTAAAAGAACAAGATTTGAGTACACAAACTTACAAATTAAAAATGGGAGGCAGTAAATTGTTTTAAAAATAAAATTAAGAGGACACTCCAGCAGGAGCCTGGTGGGGACTTCTCTTCTGGGCTTTGGCCTGTGAGAAGCTCTGCACAGACCGTGTCCAGACTTCAACTGCTGAGCTGTCAGTTCCTGCTGGATTCCCCTGCCCAGTGACCAGAATGGCAGGCTGCTGTTGGTAACACGGCATTGCTGATAGGCAGCAAGACCAGAGCAGCTGCAGAGCTCCATGGTGAGTACCCTTGGCCTTGGTCCAGACTTGTGCCCGCCACCAACACATCTGGCACCTGGCTTGATCCAGCCCATCCTAGCTGAGCCAGACTCCAACCCAGGGCAGGTGCTCCTGGGGAGCAATTTGGACCATCCACATTGGGGAGAGAAGCTCAGGGATCTGTTTGGCCCGTGTCCCACCCATCAGACAATGGTGCTCCAGCAATCATGGAAAAAAAGAAGGAATTTAGCTGTGTCAATAGAGGATGATAAAAGTTGAGGAATTTCTGAAATTATACCAACCTTTCTAATCTGTCTGAAGAAGACTAGAACAATTAGATCAATGCTTGGGTACCTGAAAAATGAAATTTGAACATAGCATCTCTAAACTTGAAGAGAGCCTGAGGGAAAAGATGAAGGAACTTATTCAAATACAAGTAAAGGCGGTAAAGAAAATAGTAAGAAGTTTTGGTAGCAGTGGGATGAAGCTGAAAACAGAATCAGTGAACTCACAGATACAGTATACAGCTCCATTTGGATAAAGGAACACAGGAAAAACAGTACTAAGTGGGGATTTCACAGAAAGAGAGATAGGAAAAAAGTGAGGAAAAGAGAGAAAGCGTTCAAATTAATAATGACATAGAAATCCAGGGAAAAAATGGTGAATAAAACCAGAGGTTTCATTTCCAAATAATAAACACGATTGACAAGCCCTTAGATTACTCATAAGGTAAAAAAGAGAGAAAATCTAAATAGATCAGAGATTAATGAGAGAAATTAAAATAGGCACTTTAGGATTATGAAAGAACCTAATAGATCACTATTAGGTTTTTATATACCACTAAGCTGAAGAACCTAAGAGAAATATTAGACCCATGTAGTTTCCCCAAGATTGAGTCAGGAGGAAGTAGAAAACCTCAACAGACTAATAACATGTCAGGCAATTAAATCTCAAGAACAAAAATCCATGTCCAGATGGGTTTACTAGTGAGTTTTACTGAAATTTCATAAAATTCCTAGTGTCCCATTTTCCTCTAGTTTTTTGATTATGAACGAAAAGGGAACTTTTCCTATTAGCTGCTAAGAAACAAATATTATCCTAATAGTAAAAGCAGATAAATAGCGTTAAAAATAAAATTAAAGAATGATATTTTGAATAGTGATTTTCAATGCAAATATTCCCAACAAAATCTTAGTGAATTGAATGCATCAATTTGTCAAAAAGATCATACACCGTGATCAATTTGGATAAATTTCAGGGGTACAAGGATGGTTCATTGTATGGTGCTATCACTACACGCACAAATTGTTTTTAATGAGGCTCGCCATCCATTCATGACATAACTGGGAACAAAATAGAGATAGAAAGAACATACCTTAAGATATGGATAGAAGGAACATACCTTAAGAACATACCTTAAGATGCTGTGCAAACTCACAGCCAATATAACACATAATGGTGAAAAACTGAAAGCCTTCCATTGAAGATCAGGCACAGGTAAAGATGTCTGCTTTCTCTTATTTAATTGTTTTGTCTATGAAATTCTTTCCAGAACACTCAGACAAGAAAATAAAATGAAAATAATCCAAATTGAAAAATGAAAAATAAACTATCACTATTTACACATAAAATGTCAGTAGGCATAGAAAATCCTAAAGACTCTACCTTAGGAACAATAACAATATAGCAGGGTAGAGGCTACAAAATCACCACACAAAAATCTGTTTCATTTTTCTATATCTCAAACAATGAGATAAAAAATAAGGAAATAAGAGGACAGTCCCATTCAAAATAGCTTCTAAATCCGTGAGATACACTAGAATCAATGAAGTATGTGAAAGACCACAGTGAAAAGTAAAAGTTGCTATTGAAAGAAATCCCATCATACCCAAAAGGACTGTGAAAATCCCACACAATCCCTATTAATTTACCATGACAGGGCCAAAGAGACATAGAGCACTTGCTTTGCATTTGATCAACCTGGGTTTAATCCAAGGCACCACATATGGTCCCCCCAAGTACACGCAGGGGTGACCTTTAAGTTCAGAACCAGCCTTGAGCACTGCTGAGTTGATCCCCAAAATAAAAAAAAATTCCATGACATTCTTCAAGAAATTCAGTAGTCTACTGAAATTTGTGTAAAACCACAAAACTCTGCAATAATTCCAATACTGCCAGCGTATCCAACTCTTGGTGGATTCTTGGGTTGTTTCCAGGTTTGGGATATTATGAATAGTTCTGCAGTGAACCTTGGAGTGCAAATATCTTTGCTGAATAGAGTTTGGGTTCTTGGATACGTGCCCCAAAGTGGGACTGCTGGTCCATAGAGAAGCTCTATGTTCAAAATTTTGAGGAGTAACCATATTGTTTTCCATAAAGTTGAATCGGTGCTGGAGAGATAGTGCAATGGGTTAGGCTCTTGCCTTGCACTTACAAACCTGGGTTAGATTCCTGGAGCCTCATATTGCCCCCCTAAGCACCAAGAGTAAGTCTTGAGCACCACGAATTGGTCTTTGTCTCTGTGCCCCTCCCCAAATAAAAAGAAATTAATAAACCAGTCTACATTCCACCATAAAGATTCCTTTTTATTCACTTCTCTAGTAACACTGTTTTTGCTATCTTTGATATGTCTAGTTTCACTGATATAATACAATATCTTATTTTGATTTTGATTTTCCTATGATCATGTGACTGTCACTTTCCTCCCATTGTTCATCGATTTGCTCGAGTGGGCCCAGTAACATTGTGAGACTTGTTACTGTGTGGCAAGTGATACAGAGATTTTTTTATACACTTATGTATGTAAATGTTTTTTCATCTGCATCTGTCTTTTTGTGTAGAAATTTCCGCTTATTTTTCTCCCCATGTTTTGATGGGTTTGATTATTTTTTCCTTCCTACATTTTACAAATGGGGCCCGAGTGATAGCATAGTAGGTAGGATGTTTGCCTTGCATGTGGCTTACCAGGTTCGATTCCTCTGCCCCTCTCGGAGAGCCCGGCAAGCTACCATGAGTATCCCACCCGCGCAGCAAAGCCTAGTAAGCTACCCATGACGTATTTGATATGCCAAAAACAGTAACAACAAGCCTCACAATGAAGAGCTTGAGGTGCCCGCTTGAGCAAATCAATGAACAACGGGAGGACAGTGCTACAGTGGACAGTGTTATGTTTTGCAAATGCTTTATGTATTTTGGATATTAATGTTTTGTCAGATGAGTGGTAGTTAAATATTTTCTCCCCATCTGTGTGTTGTCTTTGGCAGTGCAGAATTGTCTTAATTTGATGTTCCATTTGTTGATATTTGTGTTTGTTTGTTTAGGTGTGATGGCATTATATCATTAAAGATGACTCTAGATTCAATAATAAAGAGTCTGCCTATATTTTCTCATATACTTTATGCATTCAAGTCTGATACCAAGGTCTTTATTTTGAATTGACATTTGTCCAAGGTGTGAGCCTGGAGTCTGAGTTCCTTTCCCCCACCTGCCCTCCACATCTAACTGGCCAGTTTTCTCAACACCATTTGTTGAAGATTTTCTTGCCCCATGTTTTATTCTTAGCCCCTTTGTTAAAGATTAGCTGACCATATACCAAGGACTGTGTCTCTTTGCTCAAAATTCTATTTCATTAGTCT